GCAAAATCCGTTTTTGGATTTGAGAATCCACTCTTAGACTTTCCCAAAGAAACGCACCCTAAGTTTCGAGGGAGTTTAATATCATCAGAAGGAATTTGAGTGACAAGAATGTTTGGGGTTATATTGGCAAGGGGTGTTGAAAATTTTTGTTGCAGACAAGAAGTATATATCCGCATGGTAAAACGTAAACTCTGTTCGATATTCTAGTTTCGATAATTTTTGTTTCTACGTTTCTAAGCATAAAGTAACATAAATAAAAACCGAAAATATGAAACAAGCTTTATGACAAGGGGCCTATTATAAATATTGCCTGTACGGGGTGGGGAAGCTTACTATCGCTGGGACTCTTTTGCGCCTTAGGAGATTTGGGGGATTATTGTCGGGGTCTGGGGATATTTGTTGTCAAAACGTTTTTTCCTTATTGATGATCTTCCCTCAAACGGTTGTAACTTTATATTTGCTGTCGATTCTGATCAATTTATTTACAGTTCAATCTTTTCTTGCGCTGATACTCCATCTTCATGCTTCTCAACGTTGCAGAGACACTCTGTTGGACAAAATACGTTCACGCACTAAGCAGGTATTTATTGACGTTTTCTCCGGCAATATCCGTCTAGAACTTCTTTTGAAGTGATTTATAGTTCACACAGGAATTTTAGAGTAAAGAACTGTGATCCTTTCAGTTTTGAAACAATCTTAGGACATACATTTTCAGCTTGAAAGTATTTTAGTGTGTAATTATGCTAAAACATTCTTTGCAGAATTTAACGTACGTCCAAACAAAAGTCGACTCAAAGGAAGCAACCAGTATTGTCTTAGAAGCACTGAACAGGTAAAAATCGGGCATGTTGCTTCGTACGTCAAAAGAGTACGAAATATGGTATAAGAAAGCATTTAATTTCAGCAAAGAACGTTCGCTTTTTTGTGAAATTAAAAAGACTTATAACCTACTGTCCAAGGTTTCCATACTGAAACGTGAATAGTGACGCCCAGTTGTTGTTGTTTTTTTTATGTAGAATCGCATATATATTGTACAAGATGATTTTAAGATCCAAAACTCAATGTTATCTCGAATCGTCGATTTATCAGTTAAGACCGACTTCATGAGTCAAAATGTCTCCTGAACAATATACACGGCTATGTTTGCGACACGATTGAACAATAATTATGTATCCTTAACATGATCAGGTTATGTTCCATTTCACGGATGATGCTGTTTAGATCTAGAAATTAACTGGTGATTTTTTTTGTGATCCCATTGTGCGAGTTATATCTTTGAAACTTACATGCACATGTACATGTAACTCTAGTACAATTGACACCTAGGTTCTTTTCTTTAGTAAAAATATGAAATTGTATATATTGTATTTGCAAATTTTCAACACACCAAATTGCCTTCTTTTCAAAATCTCACCCTCGGGTTTATTCTTAAAATATTCTTAAAATTTCGCAAATTTCAGTCTTGATACTCTTATAAAATATATTCTTATAAAAAATATGACACGTCTAGATACGCAGTGTTGAGATGTAGAAACCCCTCATATATCAATCATATTTCTTGCCATTACCAAAAATCTTTCACCTGCTAAAATATTAAAAGTTTCATTTACTCAGTTTTAAAATGCCTTCGAGCATCGGTTTATGGCTATGATATCTTGTCTCCTTTGGCTCTACCGATACTAACTGTGATCCAACGACTATCTTTGATCCCCTGATTCCTGTCCAAACCTTAGGCAAACGTATTGATATGCTTCGGAGGCTACATAGTCAGTAGAGCTATAACATTTTAACATAGAACTGAGTGTACTCCGTGAGTTTATTTTAAGATAAAAGTAAAAGTAAACGTTTCGATTTTAGAAATGAGAGTTATTCGTTCTGCGTTATTCTGAATAATTAAAAGTGGAGTAGCAATCTTTGTATTCAATGTTGTTTGGTAGCTACTTCCTGACCTCATTGCATTCAGTGATTTTTTTAACAATTAGTCACGCATTAATTCTTCACTCTGTACAACAGTAAGCAGGTGAAAGGTGACACTAAACAAAAGGAGTATTAATTAGGACGTGGTGGTTACTAAAACAAGGAATGATTTAAAATGACATGAAATGACTTACAATGACCTGAAATGATCGAACACGATTGAGAATAATCTTGACTGATGTCTAAAATGACCAAGAATAACGTTTAATTAAGCCTGCCTAAAAGATCTAAGATAGTAATTGGCAACAGTACAATGACCTGAAGAAATCTGAAGTGGTCTACTAAGTGAAACCATCCTCATTTGGGAAGATTTCAGATATCAGACAAGGTTATTTTCGATCATTCGTGGTCATTTTAGGTCATTTTAGGTCATTTTAAGTCATTTCAGGTCATTCAGTTCAGAATTCAGTCAAGCTTATTTTGGGTCATTGTAAATCATTTAATTTTAGTTAATTTCAAATCATGTTTGGCCATTTCGTGTTTAGCCGAACTACGCTTTATGGAGTGGTCTACTGGAAAGTGAAGCACAATTGAAGCAAATTTTAAAACCTGTGGTCTTGAGTGATAGTACCTCGACCCAGCGAATGACTTATTCTCTAAACTTTCGGTTTTCAATTATCATTTGTTTGGGTTGGGTATCACATTATTTAAAGGGACATACAAGTTACACAGTATAAGTTATATTTGACAATTCTTATATCCCTCGAACTGCGAAGCATGAAGCAAGTGACGTTTGATCCACCTAAGTACAACGTCCCTTTACAAGCTATAAAACATTAAAAATAATCATCCTTCTTTTGACAGTGCATGTTTTTTTCCTGAATTTTTAAAAACGTTATAATTTAAATTACCAAAATTTAACATTTTAGGATTGTTGTCACCGTTGTGTTAGTGATTTATGGATGACGCTTTGGAAAAGATGTCTGCTGTATTGACAAAATGACTTACCATGTTAAATGAGGTTATTACCTCATGTTTTTTTTTTTTCGTCAAAAGAAACATTTCTGAACTGGCCTGCTCTAGGCTCTCAGTCAGTGTGGTCGATCAAAAAGCGGGTGGGCGACGAGCGAGTCTGGGAGAGAGACAGAGACCCCGACTGATTCTTTGATCGTCTCTACTGACCGGGAGCCTGGAACAGGTTATTTGTGAACATACTATATACCACTTAAGCATCGTGATCCTTGCTTGAATATTGCTGAGTTACAGATCGGGGGGGAAGGGGACAGATTCCTCCCCCTCCCCCTCCTTACGCGATTGTAGAAGACTGAAAACTCCCAGTCTGAAAAAGGTCTTTTTTTTGCAAATTTGTAGCTCATAAAAAAATTAACAGGTATTCAACGCGCGATGTGATGTCTACCTGACATCAATGTTAGGGATATGATCTGTTCTTAGAAAAGTCATCTGTTGTGCTAAAATAATCATTCTGTTCAGGTGTATTCAGTGGTTTTTGCTACATGCTTTCACTCAGCCTTTCACCTTTCTACACCACTCCTCCAGCATTTAACCCCCCCCCCTCCCCCTTGGCGTTCTGTCCCTCTCCTCCTTCTTCGGCATGGGCAAAAAAACCGCCTTTCTACTACCCCTTCGTTAGCTCCCGGTACTACGATTATCAGTTTGGTCACCAGGTTTTAACGTGAAAATCGTGTTGTTGTCATGGGCAACTAGCTCCGTTTCCAGTGGCAACTTGTCGGCCTTTGACGTCATTAGCAGCAAAGAGTGCGAAATTGTAAGCTACGCGACAGACGACGCACGGCTGTTGATATTGTTACCAATGGAAACGAGGTACGTTGCCCGTGGCAATACCGTAATTTTAAGGCCGAAACTTCGTCACCAAACTTCCGTCGTGCCTTATTCAACTGATACTCGTAGTAAGGACAATTACCCCGCGAAGATTAATGATCAAGCGAACGAGCGAACGAACGATCAAGTGAACGAGAGAATGTTTCTGTCGTGCACTGTATAGAGCGATCGTTAATGACATCATTGTTTATATATATTTTTCCCCGTTAGCATACAACTTTACCCAGAGAAGGCTTCATGCCAGGTATATAGGATTTGACTCCAAACATTTAGAGGGTTTCTGAAACTTAATAATTAATGAATTGTTTGGCTCTTTGGGTGTAATATTGAAGGAGAAACTGGCTTTCAAACAATGCAGGATTTCTGTCATTGTGGCGAAAGCCCTAATGAGAAAATACGTTTTGTGAAAAATTTTGAGATTTTAAACTCGCGTCGCACAAAGAGTATTCAATGACTTGGGCTCAAATTTCTTGGAAAAATAATCGTGCTTTTCAATAATCAAAGCTGATATTTTTGAGGTTTGATCAGAAACAATGTTGCTTCTGCTGACGAGGCCAATGTAAAACAAAGATTTTCTTATTAAGCCATAAAAATTGGTGTTTCGCCTATGATACTGGTTGCTCCTTCACGCCGCATTGAAGTATTCAAGAATAAATTAAAACCAATTTAATTGAAGTGCTGGAAATTCAGTTTAAGTAGTGTTGCCTCCAGCATTAACGGATAGCTCCTATTAACTACCTTTAACCTGCCTCAGTTGCAAAATGGATCGACATTTAACAAACATGTTCATGAACCGAATAAGCAAATGAGAACTAACATAGATATCTTGTGTTTTTACTGAGAAAGCATTTTCGTAATGAAAATCGGATTTGATTATTTTCGGTGTAGCTTCTTTAGTTTATTATAACTGTTTACACAACTTAATTTAGACTTGGAGTGCTAGATACTAGCAGTAAAAACAACGCCTTTGTCGAGCTGCCAGAGGCAAAAACAAAAAGTGCTGATGGATGCTAATAAAAACTCTGCCCTAGGGAACGATTCCTTTTCGGTTAAAAGGATATAAGAGTTAAAATTAAAGAAAAAAATCACAATAGCAAACTGACGGCGAACGACTAACACAGGTAAGCAAATCATCACTTGTTGGTATGTTTTGTTATAAATACTACTCAACATTAAGATTTAAGATACCATTTCTTAAAACCTGGTTCACACCAAAAAGCTGTTATTTTCTCATAAGGTAATCGTTCATTTGACATTGTAAGAGGTTCAACGCGGTGGTTTTCCAATGATTAATATCTTTTCGTTCGGTAAGCTACCTTACTCGAAAATATTGTAAAAAGACTTCATTTCACTGTACACATCCAGAACGAACCTCATCTTTCGCGAGTGACAGTTAACGTACCGTTATGCTCTGAAACGGTTAATTTGTTTTTGCTCTTGTCTGGATCAAACGATATGGTACTATCAAAAACAAGTAATGTTTCTGGAGCAGTTTTACAGCAAGAAAGGTCAAAATCAAAAAGTGTTTCTGGTTTTTGGGTATGATGACTGCAGTTTTTTTAAAGAGTATTGTGGGAGTTTCGCATGCATAACGAAAGATCGATACAAAGGCACAAAAGTGATATCTCTGTGAGAATAGCTTCAATTGGCGTTTCAGCTGTCACGTTCTCAATTCTATATTCGATGTACTAATGTCTTAGTGAAATGACGAGCACGCGACATGTTGCCTGATAAATACTCATTAACTCATTTCTTGGTAGAAAAATTCAATAATACCAAATACATCAAAGACTGACAGCGGAGGCTTTTAGCTTACGATTCCAATAGAAACTGGTAGGGTCTCCCATTTGCAGTTTATAACAAAGATTGCTCTTGAGATAAACATAACAAGCAATTTAAAAGCCTCGGGATCTTTTAAATTTTAACTAGCGTCGGAATAATTAGAGTGTGGATTAATCGCAGGCTTTTAACAAAGGTAAAATAGCTGACAAAAAAAAAAAAAAAACCGCGAAAAATGGGGGGCTGTTGTTTCTACACTGTGCGCCACTCGGGGCG